AGCAAGGTCCAAGTTTCTGACCCATAGAGAAGGATTGGTATGACTAGTGTACGGAACAGGCGGATCTTGGTCATCAAAGAAATGTTCTTCTTTCTCCATACACACCATTTGAGTGAGGCAAATGCATGGGCTGCCTGTCCAATACGGGCATGAGTTTCTTTTGACGATGCCACTTTCTTCTCCTGGATCAGTGACCCAAGGTATTTAAACTCTTGTACCTGCTCAATTTGGACTCCATTAAGGTAAACAGTTGCCCGCGATCCATCCGTTGTAAGCACTTTGGTTTTGTCCACATTTATTTTAAGACCATATGACTGAGCGATAGTGGCTATATCATAAAGCGTATCTGTGGCCACTACATCGTTGTCAGCGAAGACGGCACTGTCGTCGGCAAACATTAGATCAGTTAGAAAGTGGCCATCCCCAAACTGGACACCACATTTCCCATCAAATGTCTTCCTCATAATTGAATCCACCACAATATTAAACAATAGTGGAGAGACCACGTCTCCCTGGCGAACTCCTGTCTGGATGGTAAACTCCTCAGATAGTTCCCCCCGGATTCGCAGTTGACTGGTGGAATCTTTGTAGGCTTCCTTGAGTAGTGTGATAACTTTTTGTGGGACATGCTCATTCTCAAGTGCTCTCCATAGCGCAGGCCTGTGCACACAGTCGAATGCAGATTTGAAATCGATGAACAGGACAATGGTCCGTTTGCCGCATCTGGTCCTTTCCTCAATAAGCTGACGCAGGGCAAAGATTTGATCACAGCAACCACGACCAGGACGAAACCCTGCCTGTTCTTCTCGGCTGGTTTCTTCACGGTGTTTTTGTAACCTTGATTGGATTATCTTCATAAATACTTTGCCAACGATGGAAACGAGACTGATACCGCGATAATTACTGCAATCCCGGCTATCGCCTTTCTTGTGGATTGGCACGATGATAGCTTTCTTCCATATGGCTGGTATTTGTTCTGTGTGCCATATTGTTTTAATGAGTAGATAAAGACGATGGTGCAGGATGTCACCACCAGCCTTGATCGCTTCTGTAGTGATCAGATCTAGTCCAGCAGCTTTGCCAATCTTCAGCGATCCAATGGCTGCCTTCACTTCTGCAATTGTAGGCTCTGCATCTGACATAGGTGTTGTGGGCTGGTCAATCGGCGGTGGGTCTGCTAACACTCCCTGAGGAGCGTCATGATTGTACAGATTATTAAAAAACTCCTTCCAACGCTGCAGTCGTTCTGTCGACGATTTTATGAATGTTCCATCTGCTTTCTTTATGGTATCATTTGTTACTTTGGACTTTCCGCTCAGCTTTCTGAGAGTGCTGTAGAGGGTACGGTACTCATGTTTGGACGCTGCTGCTTCCAGGTCAGCGGCCACTTTGTTCCAGTACTGCTCTCGATCGATCTTCATTTTCCGTCGAACTTCATGATTAAGCTGGCGATATTGTCCATAGTTGGTCAACTTCGCTTGTTTTCGTTTGGTCACCAAGTCTAGGCAGTCGTCAGATATCCAAGGCTGTGTTCTCCGGCGGACTGGTGGGCACAGGGGCTTGGCACAATCCAGTATCACCTCTGAAATCCGTCTCTCCTCCTCATTTATGTCATCAGATGTGTCCAGTATGGAGAAGCGATTTGACAAGGCGATCTGAAATTCTTGTCTGCATGTTGCGACCATAAGTTGTTTCCAGTCTGGCTGAGGTAGTGGTGGCGAGGTCCGCTTAGCACGTTGTAATTTAAGCTGGATTTTGGCACGAACCAGGTAGTGGTCTGAGCCACAATCAGGTCCTCTCATGGATCGAACGTCCTTCAGCGTTGAGCGGAATCGGAGGTTGATTAGGAAATAATCCAGTACAGCAGAATCCTCACCGGATGGATTTCTCCATGTGAGCTGGTGTTTTAGTGGATGTTGAAACCAGGTGTTCCCAATGATCAAACTGTTGGAGGCGGCAAAGGATAAGAGACGCTGTCCATTATCATTGATTTCACCATATCCGAATTTGCCCACTGTTGTCTCCCATCCGCTTCTATCCATACCAGTATGGGCATTGAAGTCGCCGGTCAGGATAATCAGCTCAGTCTGTGGGATCATGTCCACCGTATACTGCAGTTGGTTGTAGAAATCATCCTTGGCTGTGTCATGACTAGTTTCAGTTGGTGCATAGGCGCTCACAATGTGGGCCTTGATAGTACCGTGTACCGTAAGAACTGCTAAACGGTCCGATATTGGCTGGAAGGCGATAACACTGCGCCCAGCCCGCCCATCCACCATGAACCCAACGCCTGCCTCCCGACTGTCACCTCCAGAATAGTAAAGCGTCATTATCTTATCGCTATTCGGTGGCTGTATGGTCATTGTTCCAGATCCAGTAAGTCTTAGTTCTGATAGAGCTGCAATCGGAATATTGCATTTAGCAAGTTCACTTGCAATGATTTCCTTTTGGCCAACATGGTGTCCAAAAGGACACCATGTTGGCCAAATGTTGGTCAGGAAATTAGTTAAATTTTATTGGTATTTATTAAGTTTGGTGTTAAATGATAGACTTTGAAAAACAGTTGTCAGTTCTCTGTGTTAAGTACTATTTTATAACTTTATAATACAAGTAGCATTTTTTTTCAAATGATGAAAATATTGTTAATATATCTATTATAGATCCCTGTATTGTTTTTTAATTTTTTAAGAATTACAATTGATTACTTTTTAGTAATATATAGGTTCTAAATTAAAATATATTTGTAAGAATGGATAAAATAAAAATTCAAAGATCATTTTAATATTAATATAATACAATCAATATTATATAATTATAAATTTTTCAGAATTGTCATTTGGCTCAGTCATGGATGCTAACTTTGGAGATGATAGTTCAGAAAATTTATGAACGTCCAAAGGAAATACATGAAAATTTCCGTCTGTTTCTCAGTTCAATGCCATCAAAATCATTTCCCGTTACAGTTTTACAAAACAGCATAAAAGTTATTAGTGAACCTCCCAAAGGTCTACGTGGCAATTTAAAAAGAACATTTCAAGATCTAGATGTCAATTTATTTGAAAAAAATAGTATGTAAAAATTCTATTTTAAAATAATAGCATTAAATGTCTTAAAATCTATTAAAGTGAAAAAAGGAAATAACAAAATATGATTTAAATAAAAATCATTTAACAAATACTGAAGGATTTGAAGTTTGAAAAATATATATATATATATTTTTCAAA